CTGGGCCTTGCTGCCCCATGTGAAAAACACCAATCACTTGTTTTGAAAATTGTAAATGGTGAATAGTAATAAAATAGTTATAAAAATAGTAATGTAATTCGAGTAATAATAATTTGGACAATTTGAATTAGGACGATATGAGACAATAAATACAAAGAGTTACGGACAGTCTGGGTACCTTTTCTGGACAAAATAAGCCCAAAAAAGGCCCCACATTAACAGAGGATTAACCCTTAAAAACAATAACCTGTTGCATATTCATACACCTCATCCATGATGCATAAATTCCATTCAAACACAGGATTCTGGCTGGGCAGTGTCAGCTCCTTCCTCTGAATCCTGATGGCATCTTCAGGAAGGAAGAAGTTCATTTCTTCTGATAATGGAGCAATAAATTCTCTTTCTCTGGAAGATTCAGGTGGCTGCTGTCTGGTGTGAGTCCTTTCTTTAGCACAGTTTCTATTTTAACCTTATGTTATAACCTAAAACTATATTTAACACGCGACCAAAAAATTAATACAGCATAACTTTCTAACATAACACAAATAACATTCATTTGAATATTTGCCAAAAGCCAATAATAAAATAGGCATTTTTCACACCCAGGAGTGGGAGGGAGGCCTTGGGGACCTTGTGTTTTCTCTGGGATTGCCATGAGAGCTTGGGAACGGGGCACGTTAGGGAGGCACCGGCCTAAGAAGTGGTGCTGGAATTGCTGATTGTGTGGGATCCTCCAGCCTGGGACAGGGAGGGAACTGGGCAGATTCCACTCCCCAAACGCAGAGAAGGAGTTGCTGCTACTCCCTGAGTTCCTCTGCTGAGAAAAGCACGAGTTGTTCTGCCTGGCAGCCTTGGAACCTCTCATTACACAACACAGAGGGCTCCACATCCCATAAAGCAACAGCACAGGTCATTGTTTCACTTTTTGTATCTCATTCTGACGTGGGAATTACTAAAATATTCTCTTTTTTTTGGTGTGTCAGCGCTCACACATCTCTGCAAGGGGATCTCTGACTTCCTGCTTCCCTGCAACTGATGCTGAAAATACAACTGTGCTGTATTTTCCACAAGTTGTTTTCCAGATGTATTTGCTGCAGGAATGGTTCTGTGCTTTACCTAATGTAAAATTTGGCAGATAAATCCCCGCATTTGGAACACACAGAGTTCTGTTCTGCTTCACCTCACTTTTGGTAGCATGGAGACCAGAACTGCCCTGCACTCATTGCAAGCGCCAGTGTCAGGTGGATCAGCTTCCACTAAAAAGAATTGGTTGGATGTTTTCCAGACATTTTAGCCACTGAAACAAGTCAGGAAAAAAAAAAAGTATCTGTATTTTAACAGGATGCATTGCACTACTGAAAATCTGTATTTTAACGGGATGCATCACACTACTGAAAATCTGTATTTTAACAGGATGATCTGTATTTTTAACAGGATTATCTGTATTTTAACAGGATCATTGTGGCACCTCATAAAGAGAATTCTAGCAGCAAGAATATCCTGCAAGGGACCCTCAGGATCATCCTGCCCTGCACAGACAGCCCAAAGCTCCCAGGCTGTGCCTGCTGAGGGACAGCCCTGCCATTGTCCCCTGTTGGGACACAGGGACACACAAGG